CACCAGACAAACAGACACCAGACACCAGACAACAGACACCAGACACCAGACACCAGACACCAGACACCAGACACCAGACACCAGACACAAGACACAAGACACAAGACACAAGACACGCAAGCACAAGACACGCAGACACGCACGCACGCACCCACACCCACACACAGACACACAGACACACATACATTCACACACACACACATTCACACACATTCACACACACACATACACCCACACACACATTCACACACACACACACCCACACCCACACCCACACCCACACACACAGACACACAGACACACACACAGACACACACACACAGACACAGACAGAGACACAGACACACACACACACAAAGACAGAGACACAGACATAGACACAGACACAGACACAGACACAGACGCAGACGCAGACACAGACAGAGACACAGACACAGACACAGACACACCCACACGCGCACACGCACACGCGCACGCACACGCACACACCCACACCCACATGCACACGCACACGCACACGCACACCCACACCCACACCCACACACACACACACAAAGGCATTCACTCCCCCAAACAAACACAACACACACACACACATCGGAAAACAAGCACACACACATGCCAACTGCCAAATTGCACAATGCTTGTACATGAATGATGTCCGCTACAGGGCGCCCAACTATCAAAATCCACACTCTGTCAGGAGCATTGCTGGACGCATCACCCAAGCGTTGCTGTCCCATGATGAGCGGGCAGAGGAATGGGATGAGAACGAGGAGGAGGCAGGGCAGAATCATAGGCTGCCTTTGCCCTTGCCATTTAGTGGGCCCCACTGCTTGTGAACCCCAACGTGAGGTCCGTTTTTACTGGGCGAGTCAGTTTGGACATAGATGGATTCCATTACTGTCTGTTAGGTTCTAACTTTGATTTCAGAGCTTCGAATACTGGAGATGTTCGATAGAGCCAGTTTCTTTGTTTACATGGCGTTGCTTTCCCTTGCTTTGTCCTCCCCGCTTTTCGGGCTTTGCTCTGATTTGTTCTATTGCTTGGTACACTTGTTGAAATGATCCGCGGCTTTTGAGCCTTCGGAGCCATTGCTTACAGAGCCAGTGCTGCGAACAATGGTTGCAAACGCTGTTTGACCTACTCTTATATGCTCAAGGGCTGGTACCGTCGACCCCCGTCTCAAAATGCTTGCCTTTGGGCTCTTCAGCAGCCAGATCTGGGCATTGATCAGCGCAAAACGCAACCTAGTTTCCTTCCCAAACGGCCTGAAACTGCAGCTTTGTCACACCCAATCCCATGTTCAGCTGTGGCGTGGTTTGTGCGCCGACATGCGGTGACAAAGCGAGAAGGCCAAATCAAGGGGCCTGAAAGGAGCGGAGGGACATATTGGGATGCCTGAGGCTGCGGACCCGCGGCGTGCGATCCCTTGACTTGCGCTGTTCAGTGCTGTGTTTCAGGGAAGCCTCAATTGGTGGTTTGAGTTAGTGCTTTGGAACGCCTTTGTGCCATTGAAAAGTTTTAGCAAGCTTGCCCGGGAGTGAAACGAGCTCACCTATCATGAAGGTTCTAGGGGTTTCGTCATTTCTGGTTTGGGAATCGTGTGCAATTTGCCCGGATCAATCTAAACCATCAGCCGCGTGTTGTTGGTGTTTGGTTTGTTTAAGGCCTTTCCTTGGCAAGCCCACTTTGCTGCAATGATGGTTTGCAGCATGTTGACTTCTCAGGCGCCATTTCGCAGTGCATTATCAGCAGCCGCTTAATTTAAGTTGCCCGCCCTCAGCTCCCCCGCCACCAGACCAGTACTTCAAGCGTGCGCACCTGCACTGAGGCTGGGGCCGCTCCACACACGCAGGCTGCCGAGGGCAAGCAGCCGGATGCAAAGCGCACCCAAACTGGAGAGAAGACACCAAAGCGTCGCTTCAAGTCTGTGGTGCCTTGGACAGAGGTTCGGCTTTGGCTCGAACAGGGGTGACAGGTTGGAGGGACATGTGAGGCCATATCAATGTGGGAATTTGTCAAGACAAGTTTGACACTGTTTGCGAGGATTTTTATTTTTAAAGGGGCTTTTGCTGGGTTCCCACTAAAAGCGGTGAACTACTAGGAGCCAGGGTCAATGGACTGGTTGAGTTGTGATGGGTTTTAGATGGAGTGAGTACTGGATGTGTCGTGTGGGATTGAAAGGGTACTCTCTGACGCTTTGCTAGCTCAACCTTGATTGTGGCACTCAACCGGTTGCAATGGTTGCACCTGTTGTTTGGAAAAGGTTTCGTGCAAAATGGGGCCCTCGGTATTGTGTCAGTATGCCCAAAGGCGTTTGTGAAAGCTCCATGATATCTCTCCCTTCATTTGTTGGAATTGTGACAAATTGTTTGACGCACCCGGCGCGGATAGCGGGAGCAGGGATGCAACGCCAACGTACGGAATCTCAGAGGGCAATAGGAGCGCAATTGCGGAAAATGGTTCAAACCCTGGCCCCTCTTTTGTTGGCTGTGGCAATCGCTAATGAAGAGTCAAACATTTGGGTCAAGTGGTCAACCCTGCAGGCTGTCAGAAATCGCTGAACTTTGGCTTGCATTACTCTACCTCAAAATGGCCCATGAGAACGATAAATTACCCATGAAGAGTCTGTTGTCCGTGATCGTTCAGATTGAGCCAAACAGTTCTCTGTTGAAAGGAGTTCCCCCCGCATGCGTAGGCCGTGCATCGGGCGTTGTGGCCTCGTAGAGACGCTCGGACTCACCTGGGATTCCGTTCGGCCTCTTGGGGGCCATTGGGCCCAGTTGTCTGAGCCGTGAGGTTCGCAAGCTCGGGCAGGCTGGGGCCCGGTTTCGGGGCGTCTTGTGAGCCGGCGCAGGTGTTGCTACGTGCAAGACACTCCAAAAGGCCGAGTGATTCAGACGCGGGACCTATACCCCCTGCATGTTTTGGCTGAGCGACTGAAACACGTGCCCCCTGTGTTGAACAGAAGTCGCCAGAGTAAAATAGGAAGCATGGACAGTAATCTCAGAAACCAGCAATGTTCGGTTCAACAAGCAGACCCTGGCCCCCTATAAAAGAAAAACAAAAGGAGGTGTTTTAAGCAATAGGTGTTTATATAAACATGTTTAATCCGGGAGTTGAGAGGGGCAGCATGGAAAAAGAATCCGCTGGAACCGGCGCCTTGGAATCTAGGCCCGGGGCGAACGGTGTTGCTAGCCCCCAAACCCCCCCCAAACTTCCCAAGTTGGCAACACATCCAAAAGTGTTGTGTTCCTGGCCAGCGTGTGTCATGTGTTCCTGTCCAGTACAGGATTGCTGTGTGGACTGACAAATGGGCCCAGGGCAGGAAGCAGAGTGAAGCCTCACATGAATGTGGCAGCCTGACTTCGGCTTCGGGTCAAGTTCCCATTTGGAGAAACCAAGAGGCCCTAAGACTCGACCCTTTGAACGCTGGCTATATGATGTGCTTGTCAGAGCTCCTGACTTGTACGGAGCCCCTTTCGAAGAACCTCTCATGTTTGGATGATTCAGGAATGCTGTTAGTTGTTGCTTCTCGGCATGGCTCCTTCAGGCTGTAGAAGAAAAACAACTGGCTCGAACTACTGCATGGGGTCAGGAAAAGGTTACACTTCTCGGCAAGAAATAGTGAGGGGTCACACATTTTCTCTGGCAAGGAGACCTTTTGGTCAGGATCCCCTAGTTCAGGCTCGTGATCATTTCGATTCACCCAAAACAAACATGACACGCATCTTGTAATCCCATGACTGGATTCCGCTTTACCTGCCAGGCGTTTGCCCACCCAGGCTGTCATCTCAGGCAGTTGTGACTGCATTGGTTGCTCGGGAAACAACCCAATTGAGCTCCACAGGAGTACTTTTAGACTAGTTTGGTTGAAGCAAGATGGCGCGGGTTCCAGTCTGGATCTATTTCTGGCTTCCTGAGTTCCTGGACTTCAAGCCTTTTTGGAAGACCGGTTTAGAGGTAAATGAACAGTTTGAACATTTTTTGGAGAATCCACTCAGGAAGTGAGATTGAATCAATCGCCAGTGCCATCTATTTCCACGGTAGCTTCATCCGCGGCAAGTGCCATGCTTGATGCGGGCCAGGCACAGGAAGTTGTGAAGAGCTCAAAGAAGGACGGGCAACGCCGACCTCGACTGAAAGCGATCCGACGAGTTTTAGGGGGAGAACCCCGTTTGGGGACCTGAGGTCTTGCTCCGGAAATCTGCCAAGAGGTACATTGGCTTCAGGGACCTCTTTGTAAGAAACGGATCTCTTCCAACAGCCTGCCAGCCGGGCAGGAGGTGCGTATGTTGGCGAAGTTGAATCCATCAGAATATTGAGGGAAAGGCAAGCACACTAAGCTTAAGCGAATCTACCATTCAACATTTCAACTTGAGTTCAACCCAGAGCCGTTTAGCCAGTGGCCGTTTGAAATCGACTGAAAGACAAAGTGTCCAAACCATCGACTTGCTGGGGCGAGACGTTTGTCCCGAAGAGTTAGTTTGGAGCTTTCTTCAGGGTTGCTTTAGGTGGGGTAAGGTGAGGTGAGGCTTGGATTTTGGGTGATTAATCCAAGATCCAGCCGAGGATGGGGTGGATGCAATTGCGCTCTCTGTTTGTGTAAAGACATGGAATATCAGGTATTCGGTGCGTGAACATGCAGAATCGTGGCCAGCAATGCATGTTCCAGTCAGTAAAATAAATGGTGTGAAAGGCGTGCTCTCCTCAAGCGTTTTTTTCTTCTTCATGTTATATGACCAGCATTATATTGGCCAGCATTGGATGGCATTTGGATGGTTGCCAAATTCAGGATCCCGTTGCAAACGGTTCAGGGTTTGCTTCAAGTGACACCAAAAGGAAGCTTAAGCATGGAGTGGTCTGCAAAGAGTCGCCAAACAGAAGACCAAGCTTTGGATGTGTTATGAGGCACCAAGCTGCAGAGTGGTTTCTAGCACGCGCTTGCGCCGGCACCCTCCCAGGAGATCTCCAACCGAATAAAGAGCGCGGCATCGATGATCGCCGTCCCTGGCCCGGTCTCGCCATCGTTGAGTCCTCGCGACGCCCGAGAGCGGCTCCTGGCACCACGGAGCATGGGCCGGGAGGGTGTGGGGCGGCGCGGGGGCAACGGGCTGGCTGGTGCCCCTTGTATCTCTCACTATACTTGGTATTTATATAGTTATCGGCTGTGTCCCCAGTTGTTTCCAGCTCAGAGGCACGAAGTTGAATTCATTTTAATTGTGAGGCTGGCAAGTTGGTTTGATTTGGCGAGTCGCTTGCTTAGATGCCTAGATGAGCTGCTTAGTTGCTGTGTCGCTGAGTTGCTTAGCTGCTTACTTGCTTAGTTGCCTTGCATGGGTAGTTTTATCAGTTAGCCCCCCCCCAGTCCCAGAAATCCAGGAATTTGTTGACGTCAACCCGTATTGACGGGACCTTTTCCGTCGTTTGGGGGGGCCAGGGGAGATGCTGCTGCATTGAAGATCACGAAACTGAGGGGTCCACCGACCAATCCTATGGACTCTTTCTTTCAGGTCAGTGGTGGATGGTTTTAATTCACCTAGAAAGGTTTTGCAGAGTTTGAACTAGTAAATACAGCATAGTCACCTGGCCAAATTACAGATCACCACACCAGCTTGTTGTTGAGAGACTTCTTTATTTAATCGTGCAATGTTTGTTTGTTTTTTCTAGTCAGCAACCCCGTGGTACATGTTGGACCTTTTGTGCCCAACCTCTCCTTTCTTTCTTGTTTTGCTTCAGATAGTCTCACATATGGAACCTCCTCCAACCTCGGATTTGCGGTTTGTTGGAGGGAAGCATGTGAAACCATTACATACACTAGCCAGCCAATCTTTCACAAAGGCGCATCCAAGAGGTGAGCAATGGACTTCCAGTTTGGGTGGCACACTCAATCCATCAGATACAAATGGTTCTTCGAGGAGTCCTTCGCGGGTTGCACTATCAGGTTGATCAAGTGAATCACATGACACAATACGGGCATGTGTCAAAATTTGGGACCCCATTTTTTGATTTTCCTTTTAGTGTCCCTTTGAATCAAGCTGAAAAGGGTTCCATCAAGAAAGACACACCCATATGGCAAGGGACGGCAGTGGCAGATGAGAGAGTATTTGACCTGGCACTGCCATTCAAGATGGCACGTTCCTAATTGTCACACGTTGCAGCTTCCAGACGCCCTCGTCGAGGCTTCATTGCACCATGGCGCAAAGAAATGTTGTCAAGCGATTCCACCGAAGCTCCCAATACTATTTTGGGAAGACAGCTTTGGGCACTTTGCCATGCTTTTCAAGGGAGCATTTGAGGAAGTGTTCTTTGCGATCCGCCAGTCATTTCAAATTTTCTGAGCCGGCATTGCCCAAGGCTCAGCAGCCAGTTCATCAGTCAGGTCCTTTTTGTCAACCTGGTACCAAGACTAAGCTGCCAAACGAGAGTATCCTTCTTTGAGGGCACCCTGTTTGGGATTGTTTTGACGAAAATTCAACTTGACATCGCCCTTTCGTGTTTTTGGAGACCACTGAAAAGACCAAAGCGGAGGTTGTTACTCGATCCCGAAGCAGCCAAGTCCGCCCATACCGCCACGCCGGCGGACGACATGGGCAACAATTTCCGTTTGCTGGAGACGCAGCCAGCAATGTCAGCTTGGGAGGAGGGTTAGACTGTGGCCCTGGTTTGTTTCTTATGGGGCACCCTGGGTGCTTTCCATTTGGTCTTCTTTCAATTAGCCACAAAGAGGCTCCCTCCAACAATGATATACTCCTATGAACTCGGATCCATAGGGCCTAGCCCCACACTTTGAGGCGGAGTGGAGGAGGTCGTTCCTTGAAACTGTGTCCCTGGCCTCCATTTCCCGGTCCGCTCTGCGACTGCAAACCTCGGACCCCTTGGGAAGTCAAGCAATGGTGCACAGGCACGCGTACGACCTTGGGCCAACACTGGGTGGAACTCCTTCACTCTTTCATCCCTTTCAGCGGAGTACCCGGAGTCGTTCGAGTTGAATTAAGCGGCCTTGTGATGCCGTGGAGATACATTTGCTTCTGTTGGTTGTGGCATGTGTCCGTTGGTTTCACAGGCGCTGAAGCCTTCAAGTAGTTGGTGAATCTCCAAGAATTCAGTGTTTGAATCAGCCGGCGCAATCGCCCCAGCTTGATCAAGCCTTGCTATGACAATTCGTTCGCTTGTGACTTTGATCAAGCACCTGTTAGCGAAGCAGCTATCTTCTTCAAATCACATGGACATGCATGTTTACTGGCTGCTTTTGGCTGGACACCGTTTGTTGTTGTTCCCATCACATGTGCTGCTGTCATGGCCAATTGGAGGCATTTCGTTCCGTGACTGAGGACCGGCGGGGCGCCTTTGGGCAAAGTCGGGGACACTGGCTGCTGCACAACATCATGTCCCGGATCCGCGGCGTCGAAGGCAGCGCCCGGACGCTGGACTCTTGAGATTTTAAGCAAGGAACCCACGCTGGACGCTGGGAAAATTTACTTGGGGCCACCCCCTTTGCAAACCAAACAACATTCAAGGGCCGGGAAAAGGAACTAACATCCAATCAAGCCCGCCCTCATTTTCGGGACACCCCATTTGGACAAGAATTGAGTGGGGCAGCTCTCGTTTTTTGGGGTGGCAGGGGTCTACAGTATTCCCTTGAAAGAGAAACCTCCCAAGGAGTTAAACGGGTGAGTTGGCCACAAACCCGTGGTCGCCCAAAAGGCATTTCTGGAATCCGCTGGGCATGATAGCTGAGCCCGTTTTCTCCCCCATGTCTTGCCAATCCCTCATGGGTGGTCTGGGGATATGAACCCCTGCTTCTTGCATATAGAGGGTGAAGGGGAAACGTCCACTAACCTCTAAACCACCAATCCAACCACCAATTAAAAGGAAGCTGATTGTCGTTTAGAAAAAGGCCCCCCCCCCCCCTATTGGCCAACTGGGATGTTGCTCCGGTGGGGCAAGACCCGTCGGCCCGTGCCTCAAGTCGTTGAGTTTACACCCTTCCGCGTTGCTTCAAGCAGCAATGAGGCTGAGTAGACAAGTAAGCACAACACCAGGGGGGGGCGCACTAAATGAAGGGAGGAAGTAGGCCTCAAGAAACCAGCACCAACGTTGAGCCGGAGTTGAGGCAACAGCGGTATGCGATGTATATTTGATTGATTGGTTGAACTGCTGATGGAGCTTGCAAGACAGGTCGGGCTGTTGATCAGGACCCAGCTGTGTCCTGTTTCTTCATTTTGGGGGCAAGGGGTGCAATTGAGTCTTGCGGCACTTAGCTGCCATGGCCATTGCTCGTAGGTCTTTCGACGACCTCCATTGGGTTCAAGTCCAATGTTCCTTCTTTTTGCAGGGGGTCAAGGGTCGGGCTAGGCTACAGGCCCGTCTGTTGTTTCGACAAGTTCCACACTGGGGACGGGCACCATCAACAGAACCCTCAATTGGCCAGAGTCAAACTTTTGACCCGCTGGTTTTCCTTTTTGCTTAGTCAAGCCCCCAAGAAATGTAAATTAAGTAGGTCCAGGCCCTTGGGGAAATGGAGAAAGGTTGATTTTGCTTTGAAGGCACACGGCATGGCAACTGTGCCGCGTGGAGGCACCGGATTAGTGAATTCTGGTTGCTTCAAGAACAGGTGCAAGCCCAATGTGCAGCCCCTGAATGGAACGGAGCCAATGTGGAGAATGTGAGCAATGCACGGCACTTCTGAAAAAGCGAATTGGGACATTCACCAGCTCCCTGTTCAGGCAATGCCGGACCATGAGACTTGTCACATGCATGGGTTTGCTTCTAGCTCCCCACATGTATCATCCTGATAGGCGCGGCAAAACTTAAAAGTCGACAAAAAACTGAAAAGTCAAGACTAAAAAGCTAACAAGTCAAGCTAAAAAGTCAAAACTAACAAGCGAAAGCTAAAACTCCGAATTAGAAAGCCAAAACTAAAACACCACTCAAAAGCCGCAACTCAAAAGTCATAACAAAAACATAACTTGAAAGTCAAAACAACAAGTCAAAAATAAAGAGTCACAACTAATGCGTCACAACTCAAAAGTCGCATCTCAAAAGTCACGACTCATAAGACAAAAACACAAAGCCAAAACTAAAAAGTCAAAGCTAACATGTCACAACTAAAGAGTCAACACAAGACTAAAAAGTCACACAACTGCAAAGTCAAAACTAGGCACACGTCAGAACTGTTTGGTCCATGACTAAACACAAGTTCAAACGAACCCGAACCCCTGAAACCAGCCCAGGGGGGCCTGATTGGGGGCCTGATCAGGGGCTGACGTTTCGCAGGCAACCCCAAGGACACCTTCCAAGAGGTGAGCACGCTGCTTCTGGAGGCGGGATAAACCGCCCGGAGCGTCTGAAACCTGGTTGAATGCGGTGTGTGTGTGTGTTGTGTTTGTGTGTGTTGTGTGTGTGTTGTGTGTGTTGTGTGTGTTGTGTGTGTGTGTGGGTGCGTGCGTGCGTGCGTGCGTGCGTGCGTGCGTGCGTGCGTGCGTGCGTGCGGGCGGGCGGGCGGGCGGGCGGGCGGGCGGGCGGGCGGGCGGGCGTGCGTGCGTGCGTGCGTGCGTGCGTGCGTGCGTGTGTTAGGTTGGTTAGAAATACATGTGTTCTGATTTAGATTGATTTTATGCCCCTGGAAAACCAGGCAAACCCATCTAGTTTTCGTGTGTGCCCATAGGATTTGGACGCCCGCTTGGTGACATGCCTGGTGTCTTTTTTCAGAGCCGCTGGCCATGACCTGTGACAGGCACCTTTTGTTCAGCTACTCGTGCAAACACGTGAATCCTTCGACGCGGTGTGCTGCTTAAGGAACTTAAGTCTCTGTAGTTTGGATCATGGCTGAACAAATTAATTGGGATCATCAGGTTGACTGTATATTAAACGCAGGCGCATAGTGCGAGGCCATTTGTGCAAACGAGAAGCTACGAGGACTTTGTTTGCCTAATTTGCCAAGGTTGGAGGCAGGGCTACGTTGATCAACCATTCAGGCGTGCGAGCGATTGTTCCTCCTGGAGCTGATCCCTACTTCAAGACACACCGATTTGCCGACTCCTCACATGTTCTCTCAGAAGGCAGTTTGTCCTTTCAAGCTCCACGTATTGTTTGAAGGAACTCCTTTTTGTGGGTACCCCATTTACTTGGACTTGGTGAAAACCAACAGGACACACACACACACTAATTTCCAGGTCTTTTGCAAGCGTCCACATTTGATTTGTTGCCAGGGGGAGACCAAAAAACCAGCCGGTCTGTCAGGGCCCAACCTTGATAGTTGCTTTGGGAGAAAATCAATAGTCCCCTTCGGCGAATCCATGACCTCGAAAAGCGGGACCCCGCCTTCCAGAATGAACGTTACGCGGCGGTTCAAAGGCAATCGCAAGATCCTTAGATCGCGAAAGGATTTGGATGGATGTGGCCTTCGGAAAATCTTCCAACAAGAAGGGAGGGAGTCGAGAGGACATGTATCACACCTTTCTGGACGCCAAGATCTCCAAGCAGCTGGGCTCCTTGGTTGGCCTTGAAAAGACTGGCCACTGAAATTCTCTTGGAAGATTCCATGTTGAAGCTGCATGGACTCATCATGCCCACCAAAGGGTCATGGAATCCAGGATGAACCCAGATTAGTTGAAAGGGAATCACGAGGGGCAATGGCGACCTTGTTCCTCAATCATCCTTACCATCGCTGCGAAGTGGCACAGGCGACCGATTTCCTTGCCCCCTCCAGAAACCCGAAAAACTAGAAGTGAAGCAGCCTGGCACACACGAGTAATTTAGATGGCAGGCTGCCTAGGAGAGTACTTCCTTTTTTGGGTTTGGGGGGGAGGCGGGGCGGGCTTTCCTCGAAACTGAGAGGAGAGCGGGATGTACATTTGTTCAATCTGGCATGGCCAAATGATATGAGGTTTACCTAGCAAATTGCAAGACCACTCGTGGAAGTAGTTGCTGACCATCAACAGAAAATGGCCAGCGGCCAATGCTTGGTTGAACTGGTGATTGGCCACATTCATGCTTGACCACCAAAACGATGGCAATTTCGGGCAATATGAAGCCATTGCGAGCAAACATGAATGCAAACCACAACCAGTAGCTCTTTGTCCTTTGCTCTCTGAGAGCCACGGCTAACCGGGCATCAGTACGTAGAGAAGAAAAATCTGAAGACGCGAAAGGGGAGCTTGCTGGACTATTGAAGAAATGGAATGAAAGCAGATAGTGCCGGTCCGGTTGACGCGCAAATGGCGCTGCTGGAGGCAAAACCGTGCTTGGGAAAAAGCGAGGGCCCACTGCTTTGCCACGTCAACCAACTGCGCCGGCGAAATGTGGCAATCGCTGCGGCCAGCCAACCCAAAAGAGGAAACCTCAGCGCGACAGAAGGCTGCCGTGCTGATAGTGGAAACTGTGCAAGCAACATACAAGAGCGCATGCTCAACGTAGTTACAAGCACCATGCATAAGGATGTGTCCCATTCCATGTTGGTTGCTTTACAACATAAAGTGAGGCTAACCGAGGGGAGTCAACCATTTTCTGGTTCCGCGCTCCGAAGCTTTCAGGGTTCAACGCCAGAAAGGCTGTCACGACGTGAGCAAAGGACAATATTACTGTTTCTTGTTGATGTTCCGCCTCCTGGTTGTGCAGGGGATGGGGGGGTGAGTGGCGGGTTTTGATTAGACCACTTCGGTTTCTTGTGGTATAAAATGTCCATTATTCATACAGTACGGGTGTTTCTTGCCTTTTGGGAGCCCCTTCGGCTGGGTTTTAAAAGGAAAGTCGCACCGCAGTCACTCCAATGAATGATTAAGTCTGCAGCCTCATTGCCAGCCTCGAGGAGTACAGTTTTGAATGGAGACTCTGTTTTTCTTAGCTTTCTTGCTAGACGACGGTCCTTTTTTATATGCAATCCTCCCTATATCCAGCTGATTGAAAACCGGCAGGTTTTGCCGTGGGTTATTTTGATGGGCAGTCTGTGGCGATGGAGGTTGCTTCCTGGTGCTCTACGTTTTTCTCTTTTGGTTTTACGCCTTTGTCTACTTGGTCATCAGCCGCTTGCCGTTCGGAAGCGTTGCTCAACTTGGGTTTCGGCAGGGGGGTTCGGAGCAAGCTCGGCCTAGCTGGGCAGAAGGAAAGCTGCTTGCAGGCTCCAGATTTGGCGCTTTGAGCAAATTGTTTGAGGATCCAGTTATATTCATTCCCTCCCGAGCTCTTTTTGTTAAAGGACACAACCTGGGGCCTGGGGGACTGACATCACCACTATTTGTCCTACTATGTGTTTTGCTTCCTGCTTTGTCTCGGATCATTGGTTGGAGCTGCAAAGAACAGTGAATCGCTAACATATCAGAGGTTGAGCAGAACACCGTTCTTACTCCTGACACGAGGCTGGTAGAGACCTATGCACGGCACATGCACTTGCCCTGCTGAGGTTGCAAGAGGCCGATTTACTCAAATGAGGTTGCTGTTTGTTGCTTATTGTTGTTCGGGCACATTCTTCAGTACGAAGTCAAAGGTCAATTCGAGAGGGACATTGAAGGGCTCAGAGATTTGGCCGCAAAATCCGTTGGGCTCACCGATGTCCCATGTCCATTTGACCGCTAATGTGCACCATGGTTTAAATAAGCCGCCTTGCAATGATATTAAGCTGCAATTGTGAATCAATTAGGTTCCGGACCCTGGGCACCTGTTCATGTCTATTTCACTCCTTTGTCAACTCCTTGGCGGCTTTGTCCCCAAAACACATTGACAATGAACAAGGGTATGTGGCATTGTGTTCGCACGCAACTGTTCGAAAAGAAGACAGGGTCAGTGATTTTGGATAAGAAGGCAGTTCCGCTCCCATGATGTGGCCAGACTCCGCCTGGAGGTGCTTTGAAATTGGGTGGACAGCCAGCCATGTTACACTGTCCCTCAAGGAACCAACAAGAATAAAGAGGGTTTATTTGAGGCTTGCCCAGAACCCCTTTCGATCCGACAGACAAGCATCATTTATGCTTTCACGGTTTGATTCCCCAACTCTACCAGTGCAGAGCCACGAGTTCCCGCCCTGTGTACTTACTGGAGGCATTTGCGTGTGGAACTTTGCCTAGCCGGGATTTGGGTGTGTTTTCAAAGGGAAACCTGCTCAGTTTGGGTTGATGACGGGAACCTAAAAGGACGCCAACCGTTTTGGGGGGTCACCCGCTTCCCTACTTTTGAGAGCTTGAAATGGCGGAGATCCCAGGCAAGCCCTGCAACTTGCAGCTGGAGGGTCACCTGGTGAAAGCGACGCTCGGCTATGACCCAATTAGGGACAGTCCTATCCATACGGATATCCTCCATGCGCTTGGGTGGGATTTGCCACAAGCGGACGGCGCTTTTACCCAAGAATTAGGATACTCCACTTCTCAGAATGGCAGGTGGGCCGGGTGCTATCCATAGATGAGTCGAATCAAACCTGGTATTAATAGACCGAAACCCATGCCTTGAAAGATCGTTGCAGGGCCCGGCCCCATGCAAGCGGAATGGACCTGGGTTTGCAACCTCCAGGGAGGTTTCTTTGATAGGGATCCTGGGGAATTATAAATAAACATCACCCAATTGCAGAATACAGGTGTGTCTTAAATAGGGGGACCCCCCAAATGGTAGTTGTCCTTCTAGCTCTTCAAAAAAAGACAAACCCAGGTTGCCTTCCAATCTTGGGTGTACCGAGCTAAATAGTCGCTGGCAAGGCTCCCTACTAGGAATGAAGGCTCAGACCTTCTCATTTCTTGGAACGTGTGCACATGCTCTCACTCAATGCGCTCGTGTCCAGAGGCCATAGAGGTTCTCTCAACACGAGGTATCTACTCTCCTTGGAGACCATGATGACTATCGGCTACGGAGTGCCTGACCCCTACATGAACGGATGTTGGCAAGGGCCTTTTGCTGCTCGGCTAAAGATCGAACATGTTGTTGGTTTTTTTGGTTTTGTCAGCTCTTGCTGCAGGGTTGGTCGGCCTGAAGGGCTGCACAGCAATGATTTCGCAACTGACAGTGGGGTGTGTGGCTTGCAAAGAAGCATACCTGCCTGTCGTCGCCAGTCAGGCCTTCTTGAGAAGAGTCAAGGAAGGGCAGTGATGCCTAGAGGAACGACGCGGAAGCGACAACGAATGTCTTGGCCTTCTGGAACAAACATATTTGATATGAATTTCACTATGTGACACCGGGTCGCGCGCACGCGCACGCACACGCACACGCGCACACACACACACATCCTCACATTGACCCAACACAACCGTTGGATTTGGGTCCGTTCACTCGGGCTGCCAAAGTGTTTTTGACTTCCTGGAGAGTAATCTACAGAGACACTGACTAATTCTCCATTGTCGTTTTGTTTGAACCTTGTCCTCAGAAGAGAGTGGGGGGGAATCGTCAACAGCCTCAGCCTGTGATGAATTACCGTTGCCTTTCTTTATACAACAGGCTTCATCGCGCATTCAGGTTTGTTGTTGGACGGCAAGGGAAAAGGACACCACCTGGAGGTCCCCGAGTTTCAAATCCTACGCAAGGTGCTGACTACACAAGTGTTGGTGAACTTAATCCTGAGCGCCGTCCTCATTGGTGTGATCTTTCAGGCACGGACGAATGTTTTTTGGCGCAAAAGATGCAAAGGCTATTTAAACATCGCTCTTCAGCCTGCCTCAAACAGGGTCCGATTACATTTCCCTTCAAGGCTATGGATTATTACAGAGCCGCCAGAAAAGCGTCTGTTTGGGAGCATAAACCTCTGCCCTGTGAAACGCTTACACTGGATGCACCGAGTTTGGCCCAGAAGAACGGTGTTTTCCAGTGTTCACACGTTTGAAATTCAATTTGCAACATGGATCATGGGTCTGGAACCTGAATGGGGGGGTTCCATTGAGAAGCTCACTTGAGACCTGATGGGGCGAAGACGGCGAAGGGGTCCTCAACCGACGGCATCTCAAAAGTATGGCATTTGCGTCCGCTTTTATTTCCACTTGGTTCCGCTCTTTTCGGGAACACCACAAAAAGGATACCCTCTTCTTGATGGCCGTGAAGCAACTTGGGAAACCACTGGATAAACACGCAACAGTCACCGTGGCAAGCTCAAGAGCTGGTCGACAGGGGTTTCGAATTTGCAAACGATACCTTGTCGAGTCGCGACACGGGTATAATGACTTATTGGCTTGCTTTGGAGAGGGTGATGTCTGAGAAGCTTGCTAGGCCCGTTCGCAGAAATGAAATGAATATGCATATGTTGTATGCCCTGCTTGTCATAGCATTCAGTCTTGGAGCGTATTACAAAAAAGCTTGGCTTTTCTTATGCGACGCTGCCGGATTGTGGAATGCTCTCCCCGCGCTGGGATGCCCGGACCACATTCACGCGCTTTAAGCAACATCCTTGCCGTCTAAGCATTTGACTAGCATCGCACGTCTTTTGTGGCACATATGTGAAAGCATCTATGCTCGCTTCTTGAATTATGTAATGTGACTTTCTTTTGTTTCGTTCTTGATTGCACCATGGCAGGATGTGCCCCGATGTGCCCAACCAAGAGAGACACATTGGTTTCACGCGCGGCTCTGCTCCCTGCCAGTAGGCGACCAGCTGATTGGCAAGAACCAACTACCCCCTTTACCTTAGGGATGACATACCAACGAGGCCACTTTGCGGCGTTATGGATCGAGTTACGAGATCTGGTGCCGAACAAAGGGCGGAATTTTGCGCACGGCGGGGCCCACTTTCTGTGATGGCAAGGGAACTTTATCTAGTGTGACGCAGTAGCTGGACAAATTTGCCCACTCTGGTACCACAAGGGTCACGTCCCACTATCCCACCTGTTCAAAATGGGGGGAGGGGGCCCCAAACAATCGGTTAACATAGTCGGTACCCTCACAGAAAAGCCGCCTGCGGGTTTTGTGCGAGGGCATCGCCAGACCTCAGTCCCGGGCCTGCACAATTTTGTGCAGCGAGAAGGCCATCATCCGACGCTTGGGAATACAGCAACTGCTGCGGGGTTGTCAAAGATATGCCCCCTGTTTGGACCCCGGTGCCGCCTTTTGAAAGGGGTACCAAAAAGGGTCTCGAACTGTTTTCACGCAAATGGGCCTGGGATTTTTGCGGACACTTAGCCCTGGTATTTTCAGAGCTACAAGGAGAGCTTCCGATGTAACCAGCTTCCCTTCCTGCATTGACTTGTTGCATCCCCACAGCGGGACCCCTCTTTTGTTCCTTACAAAAGCTTCTGAGCTGCGTTGGATGGCAATAATTGTGTGTGATAATTGAACTTGTTTGGCCCATATGGGAGAGGCCAAAACAAACAACGCAGACCAATGGTTCCCTTGCTTGAGGAGATCTTGCCACCAATCGGTGTGTCCTAGGGATCATGTGCTAGCATGTTTCACCTCATACCTGCTCGTTCGTCCTGAGCATAACCATGAACCCCTGACTTAAGATGATTGAACTAGGGGGATGGGCCGTTATCTCCTCCGCCAGTTTCACACGCTTTGCTGCAATGGAGTTGAATCTGAGTGAGTCTTCCGACAACCGGCTGCACAGCAACTCAGTATTTACTGCAACTTCTTTGGTGAAAAACAGCCGCGTAGTCTGCGTAGTGAGCAAGTTTTCGAAGTTGCCAGCTGCTGTGCATTTGTTTGCAGTTCACAGTCAGTACAACTAAGCATATGGGTGGGAAACCAAGAAGCAATCACAATTTCTTTGGTCCCCCAAAACAACACACACACACACAAATAAAAACTTGGACAACAGTGCAGCTTGGCTACGAATCGAAGAACATAATCTCAGGATGCATCGACGGTGCGTACTACTTCATGTTCCGCGTTTGCGACCTGCGCTCTCAGCATGCCCTGGTGGAGCCGCATATCCGCTGCTACTGCGTGGAGAAGAATGACATTCGAGGTGTCAAGCCCAGACGGTGAAAGGGCTGGGTTGCCATTCAGTCTAAGGCTGCAACGAGAGCATACATAAGCTTCTGGGACCATTTGCTCGAACCGACAGCCAGGGGTGTTGATGTTGGAGATGGGTGACGGCTCAGAGCAGGCAAGTGCTTGGTTTCTTGGAAGCAGGCAGGTGGCAAAACGTAGGCTACGATATGAGGCTGCATTGAACGGTTGTGAAAACTGCAATGTTCTTGCTTAAAGCAAGTGTGCTTTAGTGTCTTTACAAACATACCCACACGCAAAAGAGAGTTCCCATGATTGTCTCTGACCTTGGATTGCAATCATAGGTTACTTGGAAGAGGCTACATGATTGAACTTTGATGGTGCCACTGCAAAGGAAGGCAACTGCATGCAACAGGAAGCCAGAATTGAATCCTGACGAATTATTCATGGAGTCTGCCACGCCAACCATTATGAACCCTCAACTCAGACAGTTCTGCGCCCAGTGTTCTACTTCCCAAAGCCTAACTGTTGCAAGGAGTCAAACGCCAACAGCCCGGCGATTCTCAAAGCCCAAGCTCAGAAGGCACGAGCGCCAGGCTTCGAGACCACGCAGATGCGGCTGCTGCAGCCGGACGATGAGCCCGGGGCCCAAGAGATTGAGGGGGACCTCTTACATTCAAAGGTTCACCGCATTTGTACTGTCACAACTAGACAAATTTCTTGTCGAGCTGGCCAAAGCTGAGGTTCCGTACACTGAATTCAATCGCAGGTTTTGCCTGTTGTGTGCCTGTTCTTGCCGTCGCGTAACGCGGATGGGTGGTTGCACTTGAGTTTCGGCTTGGCAGTGCCAGACTCATTCACCTCCGATGGTGCTTCGGCCTGGGCAAAACAACTTCATTCACTTCCGACTGCACTTTCGTCTAGGCGAAACGCTCGCAAACGTGGCGCAGAAGGGTCATCGTCTCATGCATGCCTGGCCCCAGATGAACATTGGAAAGCTCCGAAATCGTTTTTTCAATGTTTTCGCCGGTTCGTGGTCTTGTGTCCGGCTGAGGCGTTCGTTTACAAGCCGTCCAAGCGTTGTTATTGTCTGATTTTTTCACGGCGCAGTTTCGCGCGGCATTTTTTCCGCGAGGCTGGGTGCCACGCTGCTGCTTTCAATGCCGAGCATCGTGGTGCACCGCATCGACGCCTGGAGCCCCTTGGCACCTCACCGCCCGGACTACCACCACCAGATTGGCATGGGCGCCTTCCCCCCGCAGACCCGCACCCAGCCCGACGTCCTCAGGGAGAGGCGGGGAGACAGGCACCAGATTCTGGCCCCAGAAAGCAAGGAGACTCTCTGAATCTCTCTAAACTTGATCAATCAAGTGCTGATTAATCCAGTTCTCCCATTCGTTGCGGGCAAGTTGTGTTGCGAGGAAAGCTGCCAGGAGTGGGAGGTTCCAAGAGGCCCTGCATTGCTCATGTGGCATTTGGGGCCGGGCGAGGATCTTGGAATGTTGCAAAGGTTCCAAAGCCTGCTTTAAATTGGTATGGCCAAAACCGTTCAACGAGCTCACTACACAAAGACAGTATCCTTGTGCAGGAACCCTTTTTGTCCCCCGAAGCAGAACCCGATCATATCCCGCAGGGGGGCGCATGGTAGAGAAGTTGCCACAAGGCCAGCCCAAAGGAGTTGGGTACTTTGATGGAAGCTCTTGGAAACAGTTGTTGCTTTTGCGCCCACAGTTGTTGCACCGGAATGGCCACCGCGGGTTGGAAAAATCCCAGAACTTACGAAAGGAAGGTGTTGCCAATGTCACGGCAGAGCCTTCCTTTAGCATTTCCCTTGTTGAGGGAACTGGGGTATCACAAAATACGGCGCCAAACACTCAAACAAATGTTGAGCTGATGTTTGGGTAGAGCCAAGGAATGCGTCAAATTGAAAAGAGCGAAAGGGCTTCCTTTCGGTTTCACTGGAGAAAGCCAGGCATACCTTGATAGCCTTGGTAGTCCCGGTTCAAACATAGAAAATGGCATAGTTGTTTCTGCAAGCCCAACATCTAACACATCTAGTTCCAGAATATGTTGAGGATGGACTGTGCTGCCTGTCCAGGTGCTTGCGGTCGATCAGATTTTGCTGTTCTACGAATAGATGGCTTCGCAAGTTGAAATGATTGTTCGAAGCCACGCAGAATAGGGCCACGTTTTATGCGCACAAAACCGTGGCTTTAGAATGCCACGTCGAAAACTGTCGGGAAATTGGTGTGCTTGTTGCGAGAGTAGCCTTGTGAGGGGTTGTTAAAGAAGGACCCAAGCGGGAAGCACTTATTTTTTGGGCTCCCCATTTAAAGACGAAACGGATCTTTGCAACGGCGTGTTTGCTTTCAGGCCCCATGCAAAAGCCAGAGACACCCGACTTACTTTGCACATATTGCACCGGACCCACAGGGTGCGTGGTTCTCCTTCCCAAGGACCCCGAAACGTCAGGTTCTACGATAGTTGGAAGGGTACGATGACACACCTTGACGTGTTGGAGTTGGGATGGTTTAGGCCAATGGCCTTCGGGTGCTTGGAAGAACTGGTCAGGTCTGAGACCTTTGGCTGCCTCTCCCTGAACCTTGGGCACGTGCGCAACAGCTCCCCTGCCTTTGACCGCCAGGCGGGAGGGGCCCTCTGGATTTTGGCCCAATAAATGAGAGAATACTGGGCCCACATGCCTTGAAGTGCTATGATCCCTGTCTCATTGTAGGTAAATTGCTTAGCGCCTATCACAGGGGCTGGTCTTTGTCCAATGCAACGCTTCTTGTTAATCGAGAAAAGGGACATTATGTGCTTCATAGGAGCCCAAGTCCCCATGGTGTTGTCTTAAAATGGGACCCCACAAAATGGTTTCCCTTTGACCTCTTTAAGAACCTCAACATGTGAAGTGTTGGCCAGCAGGGACTACAGTAATCCGTTTTGCCTGCAAGCCCGTTGAACGTCTCCAGTTGAAGAGGGTTTTCGGGTGCGGTTTGCGATGTCATAAACGCTCCTTTCACAATCAAAAAACCCTCAATTTAGGTTGGTGAATGATTTGCCGGCGAAGCATGGGGTCGTAAGTCGAAACCAACACAACAAGCAGCTTTCTTTCGAGAAGCCTTCCTGCGCAATGCAAG